CAACATTCACACATGAATGACCGATGGATCTAGCGGTTTATTGACCAAGAGTTTCTGATATTGATCACAAATGGAAATGTTGGCTGATTGCTGGAAAAAGAAATAGACATATGGCAGTTTTACTTGTACTGTCCTGGCTGAGACCAGCTAAGTTGGCAGACTAAGATTAGAAGTGAGAATGGACAAACACAGAAGAATAGAGGCAGGAGTAAACCATTTGGCCCTTTTGAACAAGTTCCACCATTCGTCATCACGGCTGACCTTCCAACTCAACAGCTTGTTCCTCCTTTTACCCCTATATCCGTTGACGCCTTTAGCCCATGTTTATATCCAACTCCTTCATGTTCAACTTCTTACCATGTTTTGGCATCAACTGTTTTCTGTGGTACTGAATCCCACAGGCTCACCACTCTTATTTAATCCCTTCCCTTACATCTCCATACTGGGGCTTGTAGACAACATTTTTCTGACTCTTGGTGTTTCTTATCTGCATCCATACAGATTCAGCATCGTGGTTTTCTAAGTCAGTTTCCATCCTTATTATTGCATTGGTTTGTTCTTGCCTAACAATGCAACCCTGCCCTCTTTCCCTTTTTGTCTGTCTGTAGTTGCAACTGTATCAATATTTATTTGAGCCACTAATTAGAATAGTGAATACTCTACACGTTAAGGCATAGAGAATTTAAACTTTTTAAACCTCATCTTAGCTTTATTTTGCAGGATGACCTAATTTTGTGTTTCACCCCTTTTTATGCCTTCCATTTTCGCTTCTTAGATTTGTCTTTTGTTTTTATCTTTGTTCCTTCCTCTTCCAACAATCCTCCACCATGTGCATTTCATTTGTGTACTCGCTAACAACGATGCAGTTGTGGTCTAAAAAGTATCAAATACAAGTTCAGCTTCATTTGTGCTCTTTTGATGTCTTTGGTTTCTAACATTAAGTTTTACCACTTATACTCGCTTCAGTGACCTTTCTTTGCAAAATGTACTCGTTAACATTTCTCTGCATTGATTTGGTGATTTTGCTGCTCTGTCTGTGAAACTGTCTCTTTCACACTTCCCAGTTGTTGATGTCTAAACTTGTTGACAGTAACAATTTATTGTAACTAGTTAGTCCATTGAGCCAAAGCTACGCTGTTGATTTTTACATTGACCGAGAACTAATAGCAATACTGATTAGATGGGTGCTGAAGATTGCTTCGCGGGGTCATCATTTATAGGGACCGGTATCTGTGATGCACCACTGAAAACTGCTCTCATAATGGCAACAGTGAAGTACAGGCCAAATTTTTTTTAAAGTCAAATTATCCACACTCATAACAAGAAGATCAAGTTGTTGCAGCGGCCTGCAGTCTCAGATGGAACAAGTACTCCTCCACCTTCTTAATCTTTCTCCATGGTCATCTGGAAGAAGACTTGTGGTATTCTCCCCTTTTAGATTTGATTTGATTTATTATTGTCATATGTACCTAAGGACAGTGAAAAGTTTTGTTTTGTTTGCAGTACTAGCAGATTATAACGTACAGAGATCATAGAGAGATTGAACAGAGCAAGGAATACAAAGTTATGGCTGCAAAGAAGGTACACAAAAAAACAAGAATCAACAGTACAGAAGAGATCATTTGGTGCATCGAGTCTGCACCAACAAATAAACTACATTACTTCCACTTTCCAGCACTTAGCCCGTAGCCTTGAATGTTATGATATTTCAAGTGCTTATCCAAGTACTTTTTAAACGGTGTGAGACTTTCTGCCTCAACCACCCTTTCCAGGCAGTGCATTCCAGATTTCCACCCTCTGGGTGAAGTTATTTTCCCCTTAAATCCCCTCTAATCCTGCCTTTAACCCTAAAATTATACCTTCTTGATATTAACCCTTCAATAATGGGTAACAGTTGATCTCTATCCACACTGTCCATGCCCCTCAATCTTACATTCCTCCTGAGAGGTCACCTCTCGGCCTTCTCTGCTCTATAGAGAATACCCTAAGCTTATCCAGCCTCTTCATTAGCTAGACTGATCCATCCCAAGCAACATCCAAGTGAATCTCCTCTGCACCACTTCAGTGCAATCACATCCTTCCTATAGTGCACTGACTAAATTGCACATAGTGTTCTAGCTGTGGCTTAACCAACATCCTGTCCAGGTCCAACTTAACTTCCCTGTTCTTATAATGTATGCCACAACTGATAAAGGCAAATGTCCCTTTTACTGCCTTAACTGATCTGTTAACCTGTCCTGCCACCTTCAGGTTTCTGTGGACAAGCACTCTGAGCTCCCTCTTACTCTGAACTTCCTAATGATCTTCCATTCATTGAGTATTCCCTTTCTTCCAAAGTGTACCATTTCACACTTATTGGTGATAAATACCATCTGCCATTGATCTGACGAATCCGTCTGTATCCTGCTTTCATCCAAGATGATCTTCTACTGTCAACCACCTGGCCAATCTTTGTATTATCCACAAACTTACTCAGTGTCATCCCCGTATATCTCGAGCAGTGAGGTATCTAGAACTGATCCCTGTGATATACCACTGGACACCAGATTCTAGTTACGCAAACAACCTTGTATCATCACCTTCTGTCTCCTACCACTAAGCCAATTTTGGATCCAACTTACCAAGTTCTGCTGGATCTCCCATGTGCCCTATTTATCACTTTCCGTGTAAATCAGAAATCCACATGAATTACATCAATTGCACTACAATTATCTACGCACCTAATCACCACTTTTCAAAATTCAAATAAATTTGTTAGGCATGACTTCCGTCTGACAAAGCCATGCTGACTATCCTTGATCAAACCTTGCACCTCCAAATGCAGGTTAATTCTCTCCAGGAACAAAAACAAAGATGCTGGAAAAGTTCAGCAGGTCTAGCAGTATCTGTGAAGGAAAAAAGTGTTAATGTTTCTGGTCCGGTGACCCTTCCTTAGATCTTAATTCTCAGAACTTAATTCCCTCCAAAATTTTCTCCAACAGCATCCCTACGACTTTGTTCAAATTTTAATTGAAAGAGTCCTCAAATCGTGAAAAGCAAGTTATATACTCCTTTTTTTTTGTATTCTAGCACTTCAATAATTTCAAAGTTATCTGGTTTTACTCCCCTAAACTATGGAACAGTGCTAACTGCAGTACGGTAATATCAAATACAGTGCTAAGAAATTGACACTAAGGAAATTCTTTTTATTCAGGGGATTATGGTAACTAAATTTTCTTTGATTTAAGCAATATAGGAACTCATAGTGATTAGTTTGATGTATCACATTCCTCTTTGGAAGGCCTTTACTCTTGTACTAAAATGTTTCTTGCCCCTTTATTCGGAGGATTATGGTAGCTGAATTTGAATTAACCTAATCCATTCAGGAAGTCATGATGATGATCACATTAGAGAGCTCCACTAGGGCTCCATTTTTTTAAAAAAAAGCCCCTCTTTACTCTGTCCCCCTCTGCCCCTCAACCAAGTGGATTTGTTGATTTATTCCTTTCTCCTTTTATTAATAATGCATTGTTTGTATTCCAATTCTTTTGTCTTCTTTGATATACCTCACTATTCTGGAAAGCATTATTATGTATCTGGAACAAAAACAGAAGTTGCTGGATAAGCTGAGCAGGTCTGGCAGCATCTGTGAAAAAAATTAGAGTTAATGTTTTGGGTCCAGTAACCCTTCGTCAGAACTCTTTTTTGGTTTTTATTATATATGTAGGTGGAATGATTGTGTTCATTTGACACTTGAAGTCCCTTTAAAATTTTAATATAACGTTTTCAAGTAGTGGTTGTTCCCCATCTATTTGGAATGTTCAAGCAAGTCATTGTTATGAGTGTGGAAATAGTTCAGGATGCCTCTGTCTTTTGCCCTCTCGCTTATCTCTTTCTTTTCACTGTCCTGACCAGTGTAGTAGTTTGTAGGTGAGGTTGGAATGTCGGACTGTTAAGGCACTGAACCTGTTCCTTGATCAAGGCTGAATTGCCTATTCCTCTTGGTTCTTAACTCTTGATTTCAGAGATGAGGGCTTTGTCTTTTGATGAGAAATTGAGCAGTTTAGGCTTATACTGTCTGGAGTTTGGAAGATTGAGAGGTGATCTGATTGAAGTATACAAGATGCTAAAGGGGATTGACAAAGCAGATGTAGAAAGGATGTTTTCTCGTGGGGCAATGTAAAGTGAGAGCTTATAGTTTTAGAATAAGGCATTGCAGATTTAAAGCAGATGAGAAATGACTTCCCTCAAAGGGTTGCAAATCTGTGGAATTCACTACCCCAGAATGTGGTGCATCCTGGAACATTGAATTTAAGGAGGAGATAGATTTTTAATTAGCAATGGTTTGAACGGTTATGAAGAGCGACAGGAAAGTGGAGTTGAGGTTGAGATAGAATTAGCCATGATCACATCAAATGACGAAGCAGGCTTGAGGAGCTGAATTGCCCACTTGTACTCCTGCTCCTGGTTCTTAGGTTCAAATTGCTGTGAGGGTGCATTGTTTCTAATCCTGTGCTGCTGTCTAAGATTTACCAATTTATCGGTGCCGAATGGTTAGTTCTGACTCACTTTTTGAAATAATTTAATCTGCTGTTAATGATTTTAAGATTTCTAATTAAGTAATTATTACTTTGTTTCTGTAGATTGGATATTCTTTCCTTTGAAAAATGTTACTTTTTTGCTAGAATTACTGAATATATGTTCAATTGAATCTCAGAAGTAAAACGTTTGTGAGCTATCTTTATAAATATTTCTTGCTTTCTGATTGAGCAAGTATTGTCTCGTGGTTTTTGCACATTATTCCCTGCTTTGACTGTAGGCCTAAAGAGCTCTTGAGTTTTTAATGCAGAGATTGGTGACATCAATTTGATACAAATTGAGCATTATTGAATCAAGTTAGAGCTGTTAGCATTTTGGGCATCAACTTGGAAGTGCACATTTGATTTTTTTTTTGATGCCATATAAAATAGCAGAGTTAGCCTGTCTATAGTACTAAAATAAATCTCCACTCTCTTCCTCAGAGGAAATTTTGGAGCGGCAGAAAGCAAAACAAGAAGCAGAGATGGAGGAAGTTAAGCAAAAGGCAGCAGAACAAGCAGAGAAGGCCAAGAGAGAAACTGGGGATAATAGCCAAATGGAGATTGAGAGAAACAATGAAACATCAGAAGAGCAAACTGAAGAGAAGGACAAAGATAGTAAGGAGGCTGAAGAAAATCTTCAGGCAAAAGGCACAGAAGGTAAATAGTGTTTTACCCACTGTGAAGTCTTACGAGGTTAACGATCAATTGGTGTCACCACTTAGTTCATGGAATAGAAGCACTTTGTTCCTGTTAATCATAAAACTAAACTTGAGTTTCAAATAGCATCTGTATATTGTTAATTTTGATCCCCATAATGGTGGTAACTTTAGCTAGACTTGATAGGATAATTGTGGATTATCCTATCATCTCGCAGATAAAATAAAAGAGGGTTGTTCATTTTTAAAACCATCTATGTTATGTTTACATCAGTCTGTTCTGAATTGAAGTTTATTTGGAACATTGAAGATTTGTGCTTCATGCCACTTTATTGACTAACAGCAAAATCCCAGCAGATGCATGGGATTTTAAGTTGAAACTGATTTTATTCTACTTGCTATGTAGACTCTGAGACCCAGATTTCCTGTATCATTGAGTTGTGTTTATTTTATTGATGCACCAGCACAATATTCCACTGTCTGTAGAATTACGAAAATCCGTGAGTTCTCTTTTTTTTTGTTCTCCCAACTGGTATCTTGGGAGAAGGTAATGTGTGTTTTATGTTCACTGGTGATTGTAGTGATGGCAGTGGAAGAACTTGAATAGGGCGCATTGAAAGCGATAGATGCTATACAACTACTCAGTACCAATTCAGTGAAAGTTAATCTATAATTAATTAGTACCAATGGACTAAAGAAGCTGAATGTTAACTTTTATTTACTGTGTAGTAATACTTAGTCAAACAGAAAATGAGTTTCAAAATTGTTTGCAGTGTCAAGGCTGTTTGGATGTGATCTTGTGAAAAATTGCTGATGTTGGGAAAGATTTCAGGTTGTTGTCTTCGGGAATATGCATTTCACAGATGCTCTCAGGAGCAGTTTTAGCTTGGGCAAAATAAAAATGCCAGGATGGTGTCCGTTGGATAGCTACCCTGAAAAAATCTACTTTTATTAGACAGTTGTAAATACTATAAATTAAATCAGTTGTAGGTGCTGTATATTGTAAATATTACGAATCTGTTTGTGTACCTGTATTGTAAAATGTGAAATGAGTCATGTTTCTTAAATTGGATGTTCTCAAAATATGACTGAGTTGTGTGCAAAACTTTTTAGGTATTTCCTTAGACTTATGGTCAGGGACATATTCAAAAGGTGGTGCTTGTGTTCTGCATTTTGCTATAGACCCCACACCTAGTGTCGATAATTGTAGCTCTGAAAATTCAGGGACTTTGAAGAGTGATGGCAGCAGCCAAAATGCTTCTGCAGATGAAAATAAGCCTTGCCCAGCGAAGGACACTGGAGAGACAGAGCTAGCAAATCCTGAAGCTGAGAAGCTGACAGAGGAGAAGAAACTGGCGGTCGAATCAGTACAGCTCCCCCTGGATAGAACAGGTACAGAAGGTGACTCATCATACCTCTGTGGGGGGAGCAGTTCTTTTCTCGATCATCATCTGAGTGAATGTACTACCTCCATCTTTGGAATCATGCATCGCACTTTTTTTATTTTTTGTATTCATGTTCTTTGCTTGTGGGCTGCTGTTCTAATTGTCTGTTTATAAATCAATTAATTACTAAGTTAATAATACAAATGATTTACTGACATTACTAACTTTTAAATCAAAATTTGACAATATAAATCACCTTTGCTTTTTGAAGTTTTGAAGATTTTTTCCCTGCCTTTCATGCCAAAAAACATGTTAACTTGTACTTTAAGCGATTTGACTCCAGTTTGATTGTAGCTATTTCATAGCTTTTTTTCCTTTTAAGTTTAGATTTTCATCCTTTTGCTCTTGAATGCACACCCAAATGTCCTCACTCAGTGTGCATTCATGTGCAATTTCAAGCAGGTTATTGGGCAGAAGTATGAACACTGATTATCAATCCCTCTGACCATGTCAGGGATACTAAGACTGATTATGCTGCTTCCACTGTTGATTTGGCTGAAACCTCCTGTCAGTAGACAAGGTCCATAACTGGCTTTTTATTTCCATACAAGACTAGGCAATAGGGTGAGTCAGTGAGAGTGTGTAATTTTTTTTCAGTAGGCCATTGTTGTTTTACATCACATCAAACATAAACCTTTCTTTATAAGTTTAGTTTGTGCATGATGGAAGACGATTGTTATCTGTGTGTATGTGTGTTGGTATCTCCAATTGAATAATTGATCTGCAGAGCAATGGTCCCTGAAGGAGGAAAATCTTTTGTAGCTATTACCCTATCCTATCAAATATTAGACCCTACCAATGAATCCCAAATGATTCAAATTAAAATCTCTAATTTATTGACATAATATTTTCATCTGTATACTTAATCTTCAATTATTATGGTTGGCAGGTGTCATTTCCAATGAAATATATCTTAAATTTCTTGACATTTTTGACAACTGTTATGATGTTTGTTTCAAACATTGATTTTGTTGATGAACATATCAAAAAGATTCTTCAGAAAATTGCATGTCTTTTTCCCCCATAAGCAGTAGATAATAAAAAGAGAAATGTTCCTTTTTAATAAGGATTGTATCTGTTTTTGTCTGGATATTGACATTTTAGAGATGATTTTTCACATTGACTTACGCAACCAATTTTACTTTTTGCTTATTTTAATACTTCATATGTAAAGTAGATATTTTAATTTGGTCCCTTGTATCTCTGAACAAACATTCAATAATCCAGAACTTCAGGGACTACGTTTAATGGATAGAAATAAAAATATTATATTGTGTTTATTGTTTAAAAACTATTGTTTTGTAATTAGCTTTACAAAGATTCCTTCATTAGTGTTTTGCACTGTTGGCTCTGTCTCACTGTCTCATTCACTTACAGCAAAGAGCATTGCATGTGCCTTGCTTGGATCGTTTGTAATTTGTTTTGCTAACAGCTGCAAAACAAGTTTCACAGTGCAGTTTCTATTAACTCTAGTTTCCCCTTTTTTTTTTGCAATATATTTTAAGCATGATTACTGTTAAATACCATCTATATTTGAGGTTAGCACTTAGAAGTAACGTGCTTCTTACAAACATTAATATTTTCTTGCTTAGCATTAGCCTTCAGGCAAGATATAATCCAATAAAAATTCTTCCTCTGGTTCAATAATAAACCTCTGACCCAATAAGGTACTTCTGCCCCAATCCTAGAACAGCACCACATTCTATGTCAGTGTAAATGTTTCCATTCCTCACACTAACTATTCTTGTGGTTTATCTGACTAAGAAAATATTTAGCACAAAATTATCTTTTACTTAACGCAGGGCTCTCACCCATCAAAACTTAGGTAAAATTAAGGATAATCTCAACTAAGGTAAATTAAAACCTTAATTTTACATGAGACCATAATAGACGAAGTATCTGGAAAATATTTTAGATATCAAGAAAAGTTTGCTCAAAATATAAGTGAACTGTAAAATGCTTGACGACATAAGCTGGTGGAATGAGCATTTAAAAATGCAGGAAGAAAAATGTTTTAAAAATGTTAAATTTCATGAATGGTAGCATTAAAAGGAAGACAAATTAATTCATTATAAATTTATGCAAAGTGGTGGTTAAGTCATAGTTTTGATATGTGTAGCTTTGCCATTTTAGAGAAAGGATATTGAAATATCTGGACATGTTTATAGTATGGACTCAGCAAGTGCTTTGAACTGTAGTGATATGGGATTTGAGATTCTAGAAGGACTTCAATACGTTCTGGATAAAATTACAAATAGTCGTAAGATTTTTATTTTAACTGAGTAGCTTGGCAAGAGATGTTTTCCAAGAAAGAAATTGCTTTGAGTTTTCCCTAGTTAATGGACAATTTTTGCACAAGACCGGTTTGTGACTTCTATTTGATGTCAGTCCCCTCATACAATTAAGATCAAGAACAAAGTATGGAAGACAACATGGCCAGCACCCGACTATTCTGCAGGTTTTTGGATGCTAAATGTATAACCATTTCGGAGCTCTCCATTGAGTAATTTATTATTGCAACCTTTATTAGTTGTTTTGTACTGTAAGATCACCAACCTTAAAGTTTATAGGCCATTGAGTTCACATAAGAAATATTTGGCTGTGCAGTGTCAAGACAGCTCTGCTATTCAGTAAGAAAATAACTGATCTACCTGAACACCACTTTGCTGTCTCATCCCCTTAAGAGTTATTCTTCATGTATGTTTTAGATGAGCCTTTGTGACTGTGTATATTTAGAATTTCCTTGCTTCTTAAATGCATGGCATATTGTACTACTGGATCTGTGATTAAAGCATCTTTCTTTCAATGATTATATATTTTTTAAAATTTACTGCATGACACCTTTTGCATTGTCATGTCTAATTCTTTCCCGTACCATGTGTTTCTTGAATAATTTAATTGTTCACTTCTTTAAAATGCAGCATTTTAGGATTTTTTTTCTTATATTAAAATGCTGAAAGGCAATCATAATTGACTGTGTTCCCAAATAGCTCACTGGGAGTGTACAGCATCATACAAACTAGGTAGGTCCTAATTTAACATCTCTGCAGGAATGGTAGTGGGGCTACCACAACTTGCTTTGGTATACAGACCAGGAAAGGTAAAATCAGTCATAGTCCCTTCTCCTAATTGCTGTTCAGTGGTCTTATTTGTGCTGGGGCGTATGGCTAGTAGTTAAGGACAAGTCTGGGCTCATGTTAAATATATGCCTGGTCTTATGGCTTTATATGAAGATTGGCAATCTTGATGAGATCCAGGCGACCATGGCACTGTGCCTAAGCATGGATCAGCAACCAGAGAAAGGGTGGAGGGAGGGGAGGTGAGTGGATAGAATAGCACTTATCAAACAAGTCCCAGATTTGTTATATCAAGCTCTGACATTTTCAAGTGGTTTAAACAGGAATGGATTGGAAAGAATTACTGTTGTCCCAGACTACACAGCTTTTGCATAATTAAGAATAACCACGTAAATAAATATCTTGGTTAGTATAATTTAAATGGTTAAGTACTGCATGTCATTCAATTAAGTTGAGAAAACTTGAGCTCTGTTTGACCAATCTATTCTTGAACTGTATGCCAAACAGTGGTGTTAATTTCATTGTGGTTGATTGATCCTATTGTCTGGTGAGTTTGATGACAATTCATTGTCATTGTTTGTGGAAAAAATCTTGGTTTGCTTTTGATGTTTAATAGACCAATTTGTGTCATTGTTTTCTACCACTTTAGAAGATGCTATTGAGACTTCTACTGATGCTGCAAACACTGCTGTGAAAGCTACATCATCACCGTTGCCTGCTGATGATAGTACCAGCAATGTGGATTTGTCCAATGAGACAACCACTCAGGATACCAGTTTCAAAATGGTTGAGGATTTAGAGAATATGGAGGGATCTTCTCAGTCTTCAGGAAATGGCCAGGATGAAACAGGTGAACTTAAATTATTTCTGTCAAAAATGCTGACTTGCTAATACATCATGAAATTTGAGTAATCAACATGAAACACAGGACAAATAGCAAGTTTTTGGCAGAACCCGTACTAGTCAAGAATGTACTTGCTAACTCAACATCAGCTCAAAAAAATGGTATGGACAAAACTGAAGTTTTGCGTTTTTTTCATTAATTAACATGAACCGTTGCTAATTTCTGTACAGGAGATTACAATTATAGTTTTAGAGTACTGTATGTAGGTGGTTACCTAAGAGTCAAAACTCTTGAAGCATTACAAGTATAGTTAATGGGTGGCATAATAGCATTGTCATGGGGTATATAGATTTATCCAACTGTTTACAGTTGCGTCTCGAGCTACATCTGAATATGGAGATTTTCATCACACTCGGTGGGTAGCATAGATAGAGATGATCTTGATGCATGCTAGCAGCTTATGTATCTAAATAGAGTGTGAGTTGCAGTTGTCCGAAGAAAATAGAAAATGCTGGGCTGAGAAAACTTTGAGCTGTTTACCTCACTCCTGAAACCTTCCCCAAAGGTATCTATTATTTCCCCACTTCTTTTCTCTCCCAATTTACTTTTGTAGTCCATTTTGTGATTAGTATTTACATATATGGGAAATTGGAGCTTAAACCCACAATCTTGTGACCAAGTGTTTTGGGACACTGATGCACTATGCTATTAATTTCATTAAAAGTAGATTTTATATGTGATTCTCTTCCTCTTAACATTTTACCTGGGTGTGCATTCCTAAATTTCAGAGTTACTCATCATTAGACCTTTAGTTCCATGTGTTTATTGATTTCAAATTCCACAATCTGCCTTGGCAGGATTTGAACCCAGATCCCTGGAACTTTACCTTGCTCTCTGGGTCAACAATTTAGCAATAATACCACTAGGGTGTCACTTCACTGTAGACTCAGCATTATTTTGGCAAGTAGTTTTTAAAACTTTTTTAAAAAATAATAAGTTTGTGCTTAAAATCTTCACTATGACATGAAGGAATTTCTCTAACTCACTTCAGTGAGTCAATTGATCGAAAAACACTTTTTAAACCCATTTGTATCTGTGTGCTGTTGTTTGCTAAAGTGTTGCTATTGTGGACTAATAGCTGTTTGTGGATTCCACAACTGGGAAAAAAAAATGACGTTTTCTGATAATGTTGCTTTAAAAAAAACTAAATCTATTGCAGAAGACAGCTTAGAGTTGATTACAGTAGGGGATTTCCACAACCAAATTAATTACTTCAATGAATCATGTATCATGTAGGGCTTTAGTATCTAATGTGTTTCTCCAACCTTTTAGGAAACTGTATGCGTCATTTCTTATGGAATATCATCTACATATCATTTTCATGTACTTTCTAGTTTTGTGAGAACTTTTGAAAACAGCTTCTTTTTTATTCTGAAGACTTTTACTTGTTAGAAAATACCAAGTTCACTCATAGAATCATAAGGTCCCAGATTTGCCATGGAGTCCTAAGAGGATGGACAAGTCTAGTTCAAGATCACAAGAAACTCGAAGATTGTCCTACTGTCAACCAAAGTGGTTTTTGTATATTTCTAAAGTTCCTTATTTAGAAAATGTCTAAAATGTGTACTTAGTTGTATTGTCAAGGATAATGGCACAATAAACAACTCCTTAACCCCCTCATCCCCCAGATCATCAGATACTCGCTCACCAGAATCGTTCAGGAAAGTAATGATTTCAATGCATCTTTTACTGTCAAGTCACATTCACGTAATCTTCATGCATGTTGAAAGCCAAAAGCTTAGCTACATGGAACTGTTACTGTTGAAGAGGTTTCCCTAAGCTAAAGTTCTTCTGAAAAATATATCATACGTAGTATGAAGACTCTTCATATTTCATATTGCTAGGACTTGCCTTCTGAAGAATTATGGAAAAGGAATTGATTTAAAATTTTGTGGAAATACCTAGAATGGTTTCCTTAAGAGGTTATTGAAAGGTTTCTATGGTCATTGGAGTTATTATTTTAAATGAGGGTTTCTAGAAATAACATGACTGGTGATATTTGCTTGTTTAGCATTAGACCTAGTTGGGGATGTTTTTGAACATTAACTGGCTTGGAGAAGGTTCTTGTGTTTTATGTGTCTGATATGGAAGGAAGGCTACAAAGAATGAGCTGAGTTGGAAGGAAAATTATTTTAATCAAGCTGTTCAGACATGGTTGGCATGGTGGCTCAGTGGTTAGCAATGCTACCTCACAGTGCCAGGGGCCCGCGTTTGATTCCACCCTCGGACGACTGTCTGTGTGGAGTTTGCACATTCTCCCCATGTCTGCGTGGGATTCCTCCAGGTGCTCTGGTTTCCTCCCAAAGCCTAATGATGTGCAGGTTAGGTGGATTGGCCATGCTAACTTGCCTGTAGTGTCCACCGGTGTGTAAATTAGGTGGATTAGACATGAGAAATGCAGGCTTACAGGCATAGAGTAGGGGGATGGGTCTAGATGGGATGCTGTTTGGAAGGATGGTGTGAACTTGTTGGGCTGAATGGCTTGTTTCCACACTGTAGGGATTCTGTGATTCTATCTTCAGGAGAAGTGAGAACTTCTGGTTCATGAATTTCTTTTGAAAGTGTAATTGAAAGAGTACCTCAAGATTGCATTTCCTGAGCAAGTTGAGTTTGCACGACTTCGAAGATAATCATGCATCATTAGTAATGGCCACACATGCCTGAACACCGGAGTAACAGACTTTGGAACATCTTATGCTTTAACCTTTTGACTTGAAGAATAATCAGAAGACCATAACCAAAGGTAGACCCTAGAGTCTGCTAAACTGAATTTACCCTTTGGCCAAAGTGTTTGATTTTAGAAAACTAACCTCTATTGAGAAATCTATTGCGACCGACCCACCCGCCCACTGTCCTTCCATGAGTTTTGGGATACATTGAAGGATAAGCGTACAGTTGTGGTACTGACTGCGTAAGACAATTATTGCTCCTTTATTAACCAGGTTTTGTTCAGATACATCAACAACTGTGTTCGTTACAAAACCTGGTTGGTATATCATGTTTAAATCCTGATATAGATATGGTATTTAATTGGTAATGCTAACTGGAAAAAGTATTTTTATTTTATGTTGTGACCTGTGGAGGAGTGGGAATTAAGTGATGGTGGACTCCTCCAGCCTCTTGGCATAACAACAAATGCAAATGAGTAGGATATGATGTGTAACAATATATCTAAGATTGTTTGAGAGTGCATTATGCACTATTATTGATAACTCAATAATAATTGTTTGCTGTAGAATCAGCAGAACTCAGCGGTGATAAAACATATGGTGAAAATGGTGATTCCTTTGGAGCTGGTAAAGGATCATCTATCCCTACTAGGATGGTCACAAGGTTACGGAACCCTGACAGCAAGTTGAGTCAACTTAAGAGTGCCCAAGCTGCTGCTGCAGTGCATGAAGCAAATAAATCATTTAAGGAAGGCAGAGAGGTAAGAGACAAGCTTGTACGTAATCTTAGATCAAAATTGAATTGTATTTGTAATGCATTGCAAACTTTACATCAGGGTATATATTGATCAATTAAATTTCTTTTTAAATTCGAGCTAACTTTAGGTATTCTTTTGAATTGACTGTAAGCCTCAGATCTTTGAGGTATTTTGTCTGCTTACCACATTTAATGCAAGAACATAAATTGTGGAGCAGGTAAAAGATTTTTAGGCCATCAACGCTACTTGATGCAAATTTTATCTATGTTGCTTCTCTGCAGCACTGATCCCCCACTGCAACTTGTTGATGCTTACACAAAGAAGTCCATTTACATGTCGTCCTGTCAGTAGAGGAGGAGGAGGGAATATAGGCAATATTATTAATACTTTGATAATTGCCAATGCGCCCCCTTCTTGAAATTTTGAAGTTGAACGACATTGTCAAGATGTTCATTGTAAATTCAGCTTAAACTGTTTATAAATACTTATATTGAACCAGCAAAGAGTATAGAATTTGGAGCATGTGTTGACATAAAATGGCATATTGAGCCTATTTACTTTTCAGGTCCTGGTGGTGAATTCACAAGGGGAAGTTTCTCGTCTGAGTACAAGGAAAGATCTGGTGATGAAGGGAATTGTGAATAACTTGTTCAAGTTGGGTCAAGAAGGAAAGTATCGTGTCTACCAAAACCAATACAGCACCAGCACTTTGGCACTCAACAAGCATCAGCACCGAGAAGATCATGACAAACGAAGGCATCTTTCACATAAGTTCTGCATGACCCCTGCAGGCGAGTTCAAGTGGAATGGTGCTGTGCATGGGTCAAAAGTACTTACAATATCTACTTTAAGACTGACCATTATCCAGCTGGAGAATAATATCCCATCCTCATTCCTGCATCCTAACTGGGCTTCACATAGGTGAATGGAATTAGTTTCTTTGTGTGTTTATAGCTAAATCGTATTGAAATAGAGTTTGTACTTTTATGCTGCTTAATTTTTACCTGAGTTTGAAATGAGGTGGTGAACAGTGAACTTTCAATCAGTAGGCAACATTGCAATTTCAAGAAAGAATGTTTTTAGAGGTAACTGGGAAATATAATTTGCCTGCAGTAGTTTTTCCACCAAGCTGTTGTTTTAAACACCAACATATAAATGTATCAAGATGAAATATTGGTTTTAGCAAAACTGGTGATGTACATTGAAATGATAAGAGCACACCACCTAATGTTCAATAGTTGAAATTGTTTTGCCCACCTTTCCAAGATATTTGTATATGATGGATTTCAATCCAGTTTTCAGATGAAAGCAGCTTAGGTAAGACACACGTCTGGTCCAACAGAAGTTGCTTCATAGATCTTTCTTTGCCTAGAGTCAAGTCAATGTACGTTTGTACAGAAGTTCGGAAGCACTTGAGATGTGTTACAATCCCCTTGAGGAAACTGTAAACAAAAATAACTAAATTTATTGACTGACTCCCAAATGGAGAAATTGCTAACAAGCTTCAACTCTTTTGTAGTTTTTACTTTAACATGAGACCAAACCAAGGCAAATTACTGCTACCTAAGATGACCTTAACCCTGAGGTCATTAGTTAATTGTGTCATATTATACAATACCAAGTCTAATATAACCTGCAGATCTGCCAGCACCTGTGGAGAGAAAGCAGAGTTAACATTTAGAGTTTGGTGACGGTTCTGATGAATAATCACCGGACTCAAAACATTAACTCTGCTTTCTCTCCAATGATGCTGCTACACCTGCTGAGTTTTACCAGCAATTTCTGGTTTTGTTTAATATCTCCAGTATCTGCAGTTCTTTGTTTTATTTTGTTCTGACGTAACCAGCTGTTGGTTCCAAAATGCTGTTCTAAGGAACAAGCCAAAAAGCGATTTAACAATTCCTCGTTCAGATTTCTATTGTCAATCTGATTTTTCTACTTTATACCTAGTTTAAAATCACCCATGATTAATACTGCTGCTTTATCAAAAACATCCAATATTTCTTGTACACTTTGTCCCATATTGCAGTTTCTGTTAAGGGGCTTATGGACCGCTTCCACTCGTGACTTCTTTCTCCTACTATTCAGTATCTTCACCCAGACTGATTCTACATCCTGATCTCCTGAACCATGATCATCTCTAAATGTTGTTATGCAAATGCATCCTTGATTAGCAGAGTTACGCTTCCATGTGGCTTCCTGTTTTTCTTGAAGGTCATATACCACTTTTGATATTCAGAACCCTATCCTTGTCGTCCTGAAGCCATGTTGCTCTTTTGGTTATCAGTCGTATTTGTTTACTTCAAAGTGTGCTATCAATTTGTTTTCTTTTGCATATGCACAGCATTCATAACAGATAAGGAGCCTTTCTGAATAACGTTCCAACCCAAAACATAACTTTCCTGCTCCTCTGCTGCCTTGCCTGCTGTGTTCCTCCAGCTCTACACTGTATTGTCTGACTCCAGCATCTGCAGTTCTTGCTATCTTTGTAACATCAAGTCTAGATTGGTGTATTCCCAGATTTTTTTTCTCTCTGCTCCTTCCTGCCATTCTCTTGTCCTCATTTCCTGTATTACTCTTCTTGTCTTAACTTTTTTGTACTCTTTTTTGATATGTATCCCATCTTATCACATTTGACCTCTTGCCCCCACTACTTATGGGCCGGTGGCCCTTGAAATGGAACTAAGTTCTGTCGCACCAGTCTGTGAGCTACCTTTCCACCTGCTGCAATTGCGGGATTTGAGCCTATGTCGCAGAGCATTCAACTGGAATTCTGGATTATGAGTCCAGTGTCAGTACCACAACATTGTCACCTGGCAGTTCCTACTATCTCTGATTCAATTTTAACCCCACTGCGAAGCCTCTTCTAAGGATGCCTAGCCTGAAGAAGTTACCCTCCTCCCTCCGGACAAACCTCAGGGGATCTCTCTCCCACTGCAACTACCTGTTTGTTTCCTCTCCACCTATCCTCTCCTCTATCCATCTTCTATCCACCTCCCACTCTCCCTGTTTATTTCAGAACCCCCTTCCCCTCCCCCTTTTCAGATGAAGGGTCTAGGCCTGAAACGTCAGCCTTTCTGCTCCTATGATGCTGCTTGGTCTGCTGTGTTCATCCAGCCCTGCACCTTGTTGTCTCGGATTCTCCGGCATCTGCAGTTCCTACTATCTCTGACTCAATTTTAACACCACCAACCACTCTTCTCCTTCTAACAGGAAGAGGTTGTAAGTTTGGAAGATGTTGATGCAGAGTTTTAGTGAATTGCTGCCATACATCTTGTAGATGGTACACATTTCTGCCACTGTACACTGGTGGTGGAAGAGGTTGATTGATAGAATACTATTCAAGCAGGCTGCTTTGCCATGGATTGTGTTGAGCTTGTATTATTGGAGATACAATCTTCCAAGCAAATGGAGAATATTCAGTAAATTCCATATTTAATTTTGACCTTGCAGGTGTTACCAACTTCAGAGGCAGAATAAACTTGCATTGTTAATTTTACTGATGTATGTGCAAATATACACATTGTATATAATCAACTTTGTTTAAACAAATTGTTTTAGATCTAATTGGATAAAAGCAGTCCAGATGTGCAATAAACCAAGAGAATTTGCGCTAGCTCTTGCAATCCTTGAATGTGCAATCAAACCTGTCGTCATGCTTCCAGTCTGGCGGGATTCTTTAGGCCATACCAGGTGATTTTTGCTTAACTTTGTCGCCTTTTCGACATTCTTTTTTATAACCTTAGCTTGAAACTTAATTGTTCATGCAGGCTTCTCAAAATAAAAACAAAGTAGTTAATAAACATTGACCACCTGCTTTTACCTTTTTAAATAGGAAGGTGGAATATCCTGCAAAGAACTTAATTGGAATGTGATTTCATATTCCATCACAAATAAAATATAGAATAACACCAGGTCATCTCGTATCTTTACAAAACATTAATGTACTGCTGTATCTGTATTTTCTGAGAGATTGATGGGAAATACCCCCTTGTGTACTTTTTTTCACTTTTATGTCCAATTACCATTATCAGTCTGGTCTGTTGACAGAATAATGCATGGCATGAAGGGAGTCAAAGACAGGAGAAATTAGTGGGAGCCATTGCCCCAAGACCATGTAATCTAGCTGGAATATAATAAATTAGCTTTAAAATAATGATTATAGGTATTTAATACAGACATGTTTGACACTGCAATATAATTTCCAGGTTTCTGTTGGAATTATGTATGGTGCTTCTATATCATAATGTCTCTGAAATATCCACCAGTGGTGTATCAGTCACCATGAAACTGGAAAGGAAATAGAAAAGTTGGATAAACTGGTACACTTCGAGTTGTTACCATGAATTCACATTGAGACATATAGCTTCATCTAGGTCTGTAGAACACTAAGATAATCTTCCTGCATTAATCACAGGTTTTATCGATTAACATCAGTTGAAAGAGAAGAAAAAGAGAAAATCAAAAAGCGAGAGCGGAAACAAGAGGAAGAGGAAGTAATGCAACAAGCTACCTGGGTGAAATATACCTTCCCTGTAAAGCATCAGGTAGGTTCCACTCTTATAGATGTTTTCTCATAACTTATCAAGAACATAAATCGTTGTTCTTTGCATGTAACAATTAAATGAATAATTTAGTTGAATTGACAGTTGAAAGTGGCAAGTTTGAACTGTAAGACTCTGCACTTTACTTTAAGGTGAGTCAGTTGTTAGCTGTCTGCTAGAGTAGTGATAATCATAACTTCAAACCACTGGAAAATGTTTATATAGATCTGCCATTTGGATGATCGCCCATTATCGTGAGTGTAGAATTCAGAGATTTGACCACTGCTGACGTCCTCGGGGACTAGAAGTATGATAGGATAGAGAAAGTAAAATAAGTTGTTGTTTAAACTGCATAAAATAAACTTGATATTAATACAGGTATGGAAACAAAAGGGAGAAGAATATCGTGTAACAGGATATGGCGGTTGGATGTGGATTAGTAAAACTCATGTCCATCGTTTCGTGCCCCGGCTACCTGGAAATACGAATGTACATTATCGGAAGGAGCTGGAAGGTATGTTTCAGTTCCATCCATGGTTGATTATGCTGTGCAACCTTTGTTCACTGGTTGAACACGCATAATTTTTAATATCTTGACAATTCACATTTCAATAACTGGAAGATAAGAGCATGTTGTAAACTGCTGTTAGTGAATTTGAAGATTCTAGTTTCTGCTTATGAATAAGAGATCTCCTTTTTTCAGACGAGGACAAATGTTTTCTCTGAATGTTGTTTGAATGACGAGTTCTCTTCCCAAAATATTGTGAAAGCTGCGTCTTTAATTTATTCAGGGCAGTGTTGTTAATATTTTTGATAGACGAGGAATGGATGCTTATGGGGTGCAGACAGTAATTGGGAGACAAAATCACACCAGATCAGCCATGATCTTATTGAATTGTAGAGCAGGCTCAAAAGACCATATGGCCTACTCCTGTTCCCAAGTCCCAATTCTTTTATAAATTCTTGTTTAAAAAAGTACTTTTCAGTATACAAATCTTTCATGATAAACCTGAACAAAGCTTCTTAAATCTAGTGCAAATTTACCAGTCCTTTTTATTGCACTTATATAGTATTATTGCTTACAGTCGTGCTCTTAAGTGTAGTGATTCTGCAGCTTCTATTTGATCCTGATTGCTAATGTGATTGAAATTGGATTCCTAAATTTTGTTATTAGAGTTAATGGTGTACATTTGACTAAAATATGAAGGGTTTTGTTAACCTGTTAGGTGAACAGAAACCTAATGCAAAACTGGATCAAGATGCGTGCTCCTCTTCAGTAAAAATGGAGTCTGAAGCCTGTAAGAAACACCAATCATCTCAACACTGTAAAGATCTGGCAGAGAATGACACAGTCACAGACAAGTCATTTGAGATAAAGTCAGAAGAGGAAGACAAGATAGAAGAAAAGGAGGAAGGAATGGAAATTGATACAAATCCTGTGTCATCACAAACTGAAAAGAGAGGTAATAATGTTACATTCCTCAGTTATGTAGTTCATTACCATCAGGCAACCACTCATTAGTAATAAAGACGTATTATTTTTAAACCCCAGGTTATTTCCATTCTGTGTATTCCCCATTGAATCTCTGGCATGTTTCACTAGCCCCAGCTATCTTGATAGATTATTCTGAAATGCACTATTTCAGTGACATGGAAGAGGAGTATGCAGATAACCACCACCTCCCTGTTGTTGCTTCTGCATCAATTGAGGAATCTAGTGGTCCTGTCTTACTGCCATGTGGCATGAGTTGGAAGAGCCTCCACTAAGCTGTACCAGTGCTTTTCTGAATGCTATTTTTGTCGGATATACAAGAATAAATCTGGTGCATGTGGAAATGAGACTTTCAAAATGGATGTCCATCTGTTTGAAAGGTATATTTGTAACTTGTGTGGTATAATTTTCCTCAAGTGTACATTAAAAAAAAAGTGAATATAATCATTTGACAAGTTGAAGTTAGTACAGTGATGTCACTTGAATCCACATTCAAATCACACATTGATGTATTTTGTATTGGGAATTAATCTTTCTGGAATGCAAGTTAAATGAAAAGTAATTTAAATAACTATTAAGCAACTGAGATACTTAGACAAAAGAGAACAAGAAATTGACTTTAAAAAATCTGCTTGTGTTTTGAAAGGTCTTGGTTAGATTTGCTCATTTGTGATAATATAACAATTCAACAAAATGAAAAGAGAGACTAGATTGGGATATCTTAGAGAATTTTGCTTTGAATTCTGCTTTTTCTCACTAATTTGGACAAGTGCAAATTTTCTACTCTCATAATTGAGATTTGATCCATGTTAGTAAGTCCAATTTTCTCCCCATGTCAAAGTTTATGCTGTTTTGAAGTAAGTAAGCTCTCTCTGTCATCTTTTATTCCCCTAACTCCTTCCGTAAGGAGTCTTGTCTCTAGGTCAACCTAAATGATTCACTCTTGAGGTTACTCGTTCAGTGTCACTAGGCCACTTTATTGCATGGACATATGGTCTGACTGGGAAATGTCTTTCAGAAAACTTTGAGGGAGGGCAGTTTCCCATTATGCAACTCTGAATGCTAACTACATACTTTTTTTTATTTTAGAGAACAGTGAAAATACCAGAATTGATGGTGATAAGTTAATAAAGGATGAACCAATGAATTTGGATGAGACCAAAAATGAATCTGGTTCACAAGAGCAGGAAAAAAATATCTCTACTGATCTTATCAACGTGAGTGAGGCCTTTCAACTCAGGACTTGGTATAAAAAGAGAGTAAAAACATCAAAATTAGATGGGCTGCTGGATCGGCGAATAAAACAGTTTACAATGGAAGAGAAGCAACGTCAAGAAAAACTGAAACAAGAAGCTTTAATAAAATTGCAGAAAAAGGAACAGAAAGGTGCAACTGAACCACAGAAACCTGATGATGCTGAAAGCTGTCTTCAGAAAAAACCTGAATCCGTTGTAGCAGTGCAAGAAAAAGAACATGTGAGTCAGATCTCTCCAAAGATCACTTTTGAAAGCTCAATGGCATCAGTTCAAGAAAATGCTGTTCAGAAAAGTCAAGCGTTGATCCAAGGAAATAATTCAGTTTTGGCACCGTTGAAGGATCCAGGTATTGACAATGCCAAGTCAAACCAAAAACTTATCAAGGAGGCTACTGAGAATAATATTGAATCAGTGGTCACAAGCACTGAAACCAATGAATTACATTTAAAAAGCCAGGAAAATGGTGCCGAAGGCAGCAGTGTTCAGTTGGTTGTGGGAAAATATTCTGTAAATAATAGTTCTGATGTGAAAAATGAGTGTGTTGGCAAGATCTGCGAGCCATTGGCAGGAGGAGGAAACTATGACAATCTAAACACAAAGATGGAAGCGGGTGTTGTTGAAGGGAGAAGTGATCGAATGGAGACAGATGAAAACATTGAAAAACACAACCCTGAAATAAAGACAAATAAAGAGATTCTTGAAATTGCATATCCTCAAAAGATAGAGCCACAAACCAGTGAAGCAATTTCTGGAAAATGTGGTGAACCAATGATTATTGAGGAAAATGGTATAAAAGAAATACATGTTCACAAGGAAAGCAATAGTATTGAAAGTCGATGCCTTGAAAAAATGGACATAGATGACAATATGGAAACTAAGATTTCTGAAATGGAAGTGATAGATAAACTAGAGAATCAGCACCTTGTTGATCAGGTTAATGGAAAAGTCATTGTGGAATCAAAATCAGCTGTTATGAAAAACTCTGAATTGGTGCCATCTGAAGCATCTGATGTTGCTGTTAATAACATAGAACGTCTTAAAGAAAAGAGCAGCATCAAAGTGAACTCTGAAAACGAAACAAAGTCATCAGCAAGAGATCCACTCGTTAAGCTAGTTATGAATGGAGATATTACCATGGATGATCTAGAAGAAAAGCCGAATAGACTAGAAGGAAGAACTTTAGTAGCTGCTCATTCCAAGGTTCAAGATAATATAATAACACATAACGATAATGTATTGCCCCAATTAAAGGCGCCTAGGCTAGATGATGCAGTTCCACAGGTTAAAGCACCCAGGTTAGATGATGCCGTCCCACAATTAAAAGCACTAAGGTCAGATGATGCTGCCTCCCAGGCAAAAGCACCCGGCATAGATAATGCTGTCCCACATGTAAATGCACCCAGACTTGATGATTCAGATCCACAGGTAAATGCACCCAGCATAGATGATGATGTCCCACAGGAAAAGGCACTCGGCATAGGTGATTCAGTCCTGCAGGTAAAGACACCAAGATTAGATGATTCAGTCTCACAGGTAAAGGTACCCTGTGTAGATAATTCAAACCCACAAGTAAAGGCACCCAGGTTAGATGATGCAGTCTCACTGATAAAGGCTCAAGTGAATCCATCCAAGTTAGAACCTGTACTATTGCAGGGAAATGAACCAGGATTACTTAATATTTCTGAAGTAGTAAATTCTTCCAAAGAGTCAGGTCTTTTAAATGTTGATATGGATAAATCATTAGAGACTGAAAATAGAGCAAAACCATTGGAAATAGATGGACAGCTGCATAAAAAAGCTGCTTCTACACCCCTTATTTCAATACCAGACTCCACTTTGAGCAAGAGCTTCAGTGAGCAAAATGGGATGCAATCGGAAAATGAAGTGGGTGGTGTCAATGGGGATCATGAGGTTAAAACGATTATTACTAAAATGACCACCACAACTACGACCATTTCTACCCAGTCCAAAACTGTTGTTAGTGTAACTGAAGCTTCTTCTCCACAGAGCAATATTCCGTCAATGGTGTCCTGTATTAAGAACTGTGCTGTTTGTTCAACAACAACCACAACCACAACAATCACAAAAGTGACCACACCGAAACTGGACAGTACCGTGGATGCTGTGACAGTCACAGAAAAAACTGTTGTTACAACCACAGTGACTGACTCTGTGGCCACTCCAGGTGGGATGTCAACAACTACCATGACAGTAAGTAAAGAATATTCCACCAAGGATAAAGTAAAACTAATGCGGTTTTGTCGGCCCAAAAAGACCAGGTCTGGCACAGCCCTGCCTTCATACCGTAAATTTATTACCAAAAGCAGCAAGAAGAGCATATTTGTCCTACCCAATGATGACCTACGAAAATTAGCCAGGCGATCTGGGATTCAAGAAGTTCCAGGATTTAACTACAATGCAAAGCCTGCACAGGACATCTGGCCGTATCCATCACCGAGACCAACATTTGGCATTGCGTGGAGGTATTCTAATTTAACTTTAAACCTCTTAGAGTAGTTACTGTAAGAGTAACATTTAGACTTGACTGTTTTTCTTCCCCATTCCTGAGTAACATTAGTACTTTGGGATGGTTACCACAGTTCAATGTTTTGCCAATTTTCTGCTCATTTTCACTCCTTTGATTCTTGATGATGGCACCCCACAGGGTTAGCAGACTTTTAGTGGCTCAGCAAATATCCACAACTGAGGTATGTTCTCAAATAGTGAAAGCTGGTAACCAAATGAATCCTGGAGTCTGTGTTAGAATGCAAGAACCTAAAAAATCAGGAGCAAGAGCAAGCCATTCGATGTTGCAAGCCTGCTCCAGGACTTATTAACCTCTTGGTTGATGACCTACCTCAATTCATTGCTCACCATATCCTCATAGTTCTTGATTACCTTGGTATCCAAAGACCTATTGATGTTTGTCTTGGGTATACTCAGCAATTGTGCTTTGTGGACTATGGATAATTACTTACTAACTAAACTTGATCCCATCACTGCATACCCTTCATTGCTGTGCTTTCAGCTAAAGTATAAAACTTATTTTTCCCTCCTTCCTCCCATGGCTCCAAGGCTAATTTTATTGCATGTGCATCCACCCTCGCTGAGATCAGCTAACACAGGATCAGTTAAAAGGTTAAACCAAAATCTTTGCTGTTTCTGCTACTAATTGATTTAACAGCTTCAGCCATCAAGGGAGTTGCCTTGACACGTATGAAACCATCTCATGAGTTGTACAGGTCCTTTACACGTACAGGATTTCCCACTTTACTACGATTCCCCACGCTGAGTTATTAAGAAATTTGTGAAGGTTTTCAATTGTATAAGTTAATGGGTTATCTGTGTTTAAATCAGTCTTACTTTTTTTAGTAATGAAAAGAAGCAATTGTGCAATAATACTCTGAAAATGGTCCATGAAGCAAACATTCCTTTTGGCACCTGATGCAAAGATTTGATTGTGTTTTCTGCTTGTAGTTTTTGCGCATTTTTAATGAGCTTCATTTCTGACTGATTCCTTGTTTCAATTGTTCTTTGTCCTGGTGGCAGGATATCTAATTATGCTTTCTGAAGCTCTGGCGTATTAGTTCAAGTCCATATTGACATATATTTGGTTGATTGGTAAATGAGAATAATATTCTACTTGTACAGTTTACAAAATATGAGGAAAAGAATGAATATGCACCATTTGTAAACACAAATTTAAATGAGAAAATGCATAACATTGGAAAAAAGATACTTGAACAAGTGTTTGGCTTGTCTGTGATGTGTAGATGGTGAAATGTTATGGAATGTCAGTTGAGTTGTTGTCATAGCACTGACCTCGGCTGTTCAGCATTTGGTCTACAGATTCTGGATTTTACAAGCCAAAGGGAGTTGTCACTTTTGTTTTTCAGCTGTGACTTTGCTTTCTTGTGAATTGCTTGCAGCAATCAGAGTGTGAGAGAGAAAGACAGAAACTTTCTTGCACATACAAGTGCAAGGGTGTCCAGTGGATATTCTTCAGCTGTGACCTCCGTAGCACCCACAAACCTCCAGAGAAGTAGAACACCAGACTAACGCACAGAGCTGGTTTGCAGTTGTTTTTTAAACTCCTCTTCTGTATTCCTCGACAGGGAAAACATATGTCTTGCATTTGGAACGGTTTTTCTATACCTCGCATCATGCCCAATTTACACACCCAGCGATCTTCGGCTTGTATGTCCCTTTTATGTTTTAACCAGAAAACCGTCATCTGTCTTAACAAGTTCACTATGTCTAAGTAATTCGGAGATTATGATCCATTGTCAGGTGAAAGACCATACCTGATCTAGTTGTGACCCAAACTACATTTCTCCTACCTATCCCAATGCCTGTTGACTCGTTTGTTAGTCAGGAATCTACCAGTATCTTGAAAGTATTCAGTGACACTGCTGGCACCACACTCTGGGGAATATTGTTTCACAGATTCATGAGAAAAGAATCTCATCACCTTTGTCTTAAATTTGAGATTCCTTATTTTGAAACTATCCCGTAGTTCTAGTCTTTCCCACAAGGACAAACATCCTTTCAGCATCCTTGCTCTCAAATATCTTCAGGATCTTGAATGTTTTAATGGGATTTCTTCTCGTTCTTCGAATTTCAAATGGATACAGGCCCAGTCATCCAAATATCTCCTTATAATAGAACCTTCACCCCCCAACAATTGCAAGAATCAGTCGAGTGAACCTCTTCTGAAATGATTCTCATGTAATTATATCCCTAAATTGGGAGATCAAAACAACGTACAGTACTCTCAGTATTGTCATCAGTGCTCTGTACAACTGTAGCAAACATCCTTCCTTACTTTAATATCCCATTCCCAGTCAATAAATAACATTGGAAAAAAGATATTTGAACAAGTGTTTGGCTCCTCTGTGAGGTGTAGATGGTGATGGTTATATACTTTCCATTTGCTTTCGTAATCACTTGAATGTTAACTTTTTTTTGATTCAAGTACCATCACCCCAGGTTCCTCTGAACTGTGGAGTTTGGCAATTTAAATAACATTCAGCTTGTTGTTCTTCCTGTCAAAGTGGATGAGCTCACATTTGCCCATTTTTTTTTTCTCATTTATCGATTTTTTTTAAAAAAAAATTATTTATTTATTTATTTTTAATTTTTTATTTGGCCCCCTCACCTAACTTATCTGCCTGAATTTACTGCCCACTCACTTAACCTACCTGTATGGTTTTGCAGAGTCCTTGTGTCCCCCTCACAACTTCCCTACCTATCCTGGTGTCATAAGGAAATACATTCAGTCCCATCATCCAAGCTATTGATATCGATTGCAAATGGTTGCGGCTCCAAAACTGATTCCTGTTACACTCCATTCACCATAGCTTGCCAATCCAAAAATTAACAATTTGTGCCAGCTGTTTCCTGATAAATAACCCATCCTTTATCCACGTTCAAGTGTCACCCCCTACATTATATGAGCTCTTAGTTAGTGTAATAACCTTTAATGTGGCATTTTGTGAAATGTCTACTGGAAATATAAGTGCACCATATCTACAGGTTCCTTTGTATCTATGTTGCTTGTTGCTTTCTCAAAGAACTCTAATAAATTAGTCAAACACTATTTCCCTTGTGCAAAGCCATATTGACTGTACCTAATTGTTTTGGATTTACAGAGGTGTTTGATAAGGTGCCGCATCAAACATTATTGCACAAGATAAGAACACATGATGTAGGAGTAACATATTTGTGTGGATAAAGGATTGGAAACAGAATGTAAGGATAAATAGGTAATTTTTGGGTTATCAAGCTGTAACCAGTAGAGTGCCACTAGTAGAGTGGAATCAGTGCTGGGTCCTCAACTATTTACAATCAATAGAATTCATTTGGATGTGAGGTCTAAATCAACGGGAGCTAAATTTGCTGATGATCACATATCTACACCAAGATAGATAGGAAAGAAAGTTGTCAAGGGGACAGAGAACCTGGAAAACAAAGGCAGTTGGTTTAGAAACAGTTCTGAGAAGGTTCACTCAACTCATTGCTGTGATAAGGGCTTCTCTTATCAAGAAAAGTTGAACAGGTTAGGCCTATATCGAGAAACATAAAAACATAAAGGATCTTGAAGGGATCATATTAGGTGGATATCGGGATGCCCCTCTTGTGGGGTCTTGGGATACGGTTTAAGAATAAGAGGTCTCCCTTTTGAGACAGATGAGAATTCTTGCTTTCTTTCCAAGAGTTATTAGAGTGTGAAATTATCTTCACCAGAAGGTAGTGGAGGCTGTGTCTTTAAATTGATTCAGGATTGTCTGTGATGGGTAGTTTTCTGGCGACACGTAGGCTAGGGTTTGGCGGGTGGTGAAGTCAGGAAAATGAATCTGAGACTGATTAGCCATGGTTTTGGTGTATGGTCGGAAAAAACCTGGGACAAATGGCCTACTCCTTTTGGCTATGTTTCAAATACTTGGGTTCCAAATTTTAAATTCTGTGTTGAGATTATATAAACTGAGGTTGTACCTCCTTGGAAATAGCAGTTTGATGGATAGTTCTATCACAGTTTTCAAGATATTAAGGGGAACAAATAGTTTCTCTCTATCTATCCAGTCCCTGTTAGTTGGAGTACCTAAAATATTAAAAGGCATTTTCAAAATATTGGAATGGACATGTTTGGGAATGAAATTAAGAGGAACTTCACACAAAGGCTTGTTAGAATTTGAGAATTCTTTTCTGCAAGAATGTTGAGAGAATTCTCGCAGATCAGTTGTGATTTCACTGAATGACAAAACAATCTGAAGGTGCTAAATGACCACCTATAGTACTTTCTTCTTTCATGACCTTGTCCTTCCTTCCCTCCTTATATCTGAATTCCTCCAGCCTTCCAACACCGAGGCCTTCCTCTAAGTCTTCCAAATCCAACCTTTTGCATATCTCTACTCATTACTCCACTGTTGCTTTATAATGATGCTTTATGGTGTTTACGTTAAGATTGCAAGATGGTGTTTTATTCAGTACCAATATTTGTGCAGTGACAGTGCCCTTAACTGTGGGCCAGATGTTCTAGTTTCAAATTTCACCTGCCCTGGAGGTGTGCCATAACATATCTGAACAGGTTGATTTAAAGATTTTTGTTTCCTCTTGTTTTTCCTTTTCTCGCTAAGATCTGTTTTGTCTTTAGACGATATAAACAAATTCTTGCCTATGGCTGTACTAGTCTGAAAATACAATCGTTCTGATCTTGGAAGCTATCAGACTTGGGCCTGGTATATACTTGGATGAAAGACTTCATGTTTTGCAGTAGAGCACGGGGAAACTAACAGTAGAACTTAAATGTAACATTGCCAATCTTTAAAAAAAGATAAACTGAAGAGGTGTCTGCCTGCTTGACTGCATGTTACAAATATGTGGCATCGTTCATTGAAGTACACTGAAATCTCTGTCCAGCCAAACAAATTCCCTCCAGCAACAAGTCACGTCAGTTGATAATATGTCCATTGAACCTAGGTTTTAATCTCTCAACAATCTACATAATTGGAAATGTTCCAGAATCTGGGGAATTTTAGATCATAACCAATGCATCCACTAACTTTGCACCAGCGATTTGAAAACCATGAAGTATTAGCCACTTTGGTCTAGGTCTTTTGACTTTTCTCCTGTACTTGTTTGTTACTCATATTGATCTGATATCCTCACTTGCATTAGATCTTGGTACTCATTTATTTCTGGTGTTCAACGGTGAAGGCAGATGTGCTGTTTGTTTAATGTCTCTGATAATTTTTGGTATTATTAATACTGTACTTCACCATTAAGGGAACTGATTTTACTTTTACTATCCTCATTTTTGTACATGTAAAAGCTTGTACAGTCTTGTTTCAGTATTTCTTCATGGTTTATTCCAGTATTCTACTTTATCCTTTGATTTGTAATCCTCAAATTTACTACTCACTGTGATAATAAAATTATTCGTAACATTAATAAAATGTCAGCAACAAAATCCTTTTGTGCTATGCTATGCTTAACGTTTTAAATTAGCTGTGGGCAGAACACTTTCTTTGCCCCATAGTTTTCAGTTCTCAGTGGAAAGCATACTCATTGTGAATTATTGAATGTTTTGAAGCATTTGAGGAAGACTAACAAGCCAAGTAAATGCACAATTATCGGAAACTGAGTTATGAGCAAAAGAAGAACACACATTTTCAGAATCCTGAAAATGACTGGACAGATCGATAGTATTCTGAAGAAGGGTCACTGGATCTGAAACGTTGGCTCTGCTTTCTCTCCACAGATGCTGCTGGACCTGCTGAGTTTCTCAAGCTAGTTCTGTCTTTGTTTCAGGTTTCCATCATCCGCAGTTATTTGTTTTTTGTTTGGATGGATAGTTACATTGATTAAAAAGGCATATGGGATATTCATTAAAAAGAACTGAGGCATAAACATGAAAGATGTGAAATTTGCTGTCTTTGAAGCATGTCTCTGAAACACTCAAGGACCGCTAAGTACTGAATACCAATGATCACCACACTATAAGAAAGATGCAAATCATTAGGAAGAGCATGGAGGAGTTCCGTGAGGATGTTGCCTCGACTGGAGATATTTAGTTTTGAGGGCAGATCAGAAGGACTGGGGTTGCATGAATACAACAGAGAGGCTGAGCAGGAATCTAAGGGAACTGTACAAAATCATTCCTATATCTCTAAGGCTGAGGAATCCATAGGTTTAGGGTGAGTGGGAAAAATTATTCAGCCAGATTTTGTTTTTTCTATTAATTTTTATGGGATGCGGGTGTCGCTGGCTGGCTAGCATTTCTTGCCCATCCCTAGTTGCCCTTGAGAAGGCGGTGGTGAGCTTCCTTCTTGAACCGCTGCAGTCCTTCTGCTGTGGGGTGATCCACAGTGCTATTAGGGAGGGAATTCCAGGATTTTGACCCAGCGACAGTGAAGGAACGGCGATATATTTCCAAATCAGAATGGTGAGTGGCTTGGAGGTGGTGGTGTTTCCATATGTCTGCTGCCCTTGTCCTTCTAGATGGAAATGTCTTGAGGATCTTCAGTGAATTTCTGCAGTGCATCTTGTAGATCATGCACACTGCTGCTACTGAGCGTTGCTGATGAAGGGAATGGATGCTTGTGAATGTGGTGTCAATCAAGCGGGCTGCTTTGTCCTGGATGGTGTCAAGCTTCTGGAGTTTTGTTCGGGCTGCACTTATCCAGGCAAGTAGGATGTATTCCATCACACTCCTGACTTGTGCCTTGTAGATGGTGGACAGGCTTTGATTAGTCAGGATGTGAGTTACTCGGCCCAGTATTCCTGGTTTCTGGCCTGCTCTTATAGCCACTGTGTGAGTCCAGTTGAGTTTCTGGTCAATGATAACCCCCAAGATGTTGATAGTGGGGGATTCAGTGATGGTCACACCATTGAATGTCAAGGGACGATAGTTAGATTGTCTTTTATTGGTGATGGTCATAGCCTGGCATTTGTGTGGCACGAGTGTCCCTTGCTACTTGTCAGCCCAAGCCTGGATATTGTCCAGATTTTGTTGCATTTGAACATGGACTGCTTCAGTATCTGAGGAGTCACGAATGGTGCTGAACATTGTGCAATCATCGGCGGACATCCCCACTTCTGACCTCACGATGGAGGGAAGCTGCTGAAGTTGGTTGGGCCGAGGACGCTACCTTGAGGAACTCCAGCGGAGATGTTCTGAAGCTGAGATGATTGACCTCCAGCAACCACGACCATCTTCCTATGTGTCATGTATGACTCCAACCATCGGAGAGTTTGTCCCCTGATCCCCGTTGATTCCAGTTTTGCTAGGGCTCCTTGATGCCATGCTTGGTTAAATGCAGCCTTGATATTAAGGGCTGTCACTCTTGCCTCTCCTCTGGAATTCAGCTGTGTTGTCCATGTTTGAACCAAGGCTGTAATGAGGTCAGGAGCTGAGTGGCCCTGGCAGAACCCAAACTGGGCGTCACTGAGCAGGTGCTGCTCGAATACACTGTTAATGACCCCTTCCATCACTTCACTGATGATTGAGAGTAGACTGATGCGACGGTAATTGGCTGGGTTGGATTTGTCCTGCTTTTCGTGTACAGGACATACTTATGCAATTTTCCACATTGCTGGGTAGATGCCAGTGTTGTAACTGTACTGGAACAGCTTGGCTAGAGGAGCGGCAAGTTCTGGAGCACAAGTCTTCAGTATTATTGCCGGAATGTTGTCAGGGCCCGTAGCCTTTGAAGTATCCAGTGTCTCCAACCGTTTCTTGATATCTTGTGGAGTGAACCTAATTGGTTGAAGACTGGTATCTGTAATGGTGGGGACCACTGGAGGAGCCCGAGATGCATCATTCACTCGGCACTTTTGGCTGAAGATTGCTGCGAATGCTTCAACCTTATCACTGATGTGCTGGGCTCTTCCATCATTGAGGATGGGGATATTTGTGAAGCAGCCTCCTCCAGTGAGTTGTTTAATTGTCCACCGCCATTCACGACTGGATGTGGCAGGAATGCAGAGCTCAGGTCTGACTTGTTGGTTCACTTAGCCCTGTCTATCACTTGTTGCTTTCGCTGTTTGATGTGAAAGTAGTCCTGTTTGGTGGCTTCACCAGGTTGATACCTCACCCTCAGGTATGCCTGGTGCTGCTCCTGGCATGCCCTACTGCACACTCCATTGAAACAGCGTTGATCCCTTGGCTTGATGGTAATGGTTGAGTGGGGGATATGCCAGACCATGAGGTTACAGATTGTGCTGGAGTACAATTCTGCTGCTGTCGATGGCCCACAGTGTTTCATGGATGCCCAGTCTTGAGTTGCTAGATCTGTGCGAAGTCTGTCCCATTTAGCACGGTGATAGTGCCACACAACATGATGGGAATTATTCTTAATGTGAAGGCGGGACTTCGTCTCCACAAGGACTATGCAATGGTCACTCTTACCGTTACTGTCATGGACAGATATAACTGCAGCTGATAGATGAGTAAGGATGAGGTCAAGTATGTTTTTCCCTCTTGTTGGTTCCCTCACCACCTGCCGCAAACCAGTCTAGCAGCTATATCCTTTAGGACCCAACCAGCTCGATCAGTAGTACTGCTGCTGAGCCACTGTTGGTGATGGACATTGAAATCCCCCTCCAGAGTATATTTTGTGCCCTTGCCATCCTCGGTGCTTCTTCTCATTGTTGCTCAACATTGAGGAGTAGTGATTCATCAGCTGAGGGAGGACAGTATGTGGTAATCAGCAGGAGGTTTCCTTGCCCATGTTTAACCTGAAACCATGAGACTTCATGGGGTCTGCAATCAATGTTGAGGACTCCTAGAGCAACACCGTCCCGACTATATACCATTGTGCTGCCAACTCTGCTGACTCAATTTTGGCACTAACCCCCAGATGTTAGTGAGGAGGATTTTGCCGCGTCGACAGGGCTGTTTATGCTGTTGTCTTTTCCGGTGCCTCGGTTGATGCCAAGTGATCCATCCGGTTTCATTTCTTTCAGACTTTGTAGCGATTTGTACAACTGAGTGGTATGTTAGGCCATTTCAGAGGGCAGTTGAGAGTCAACCACATTGCTGTGGGTCTGGAGCCACATGTAGGCCAGACCAGGTGAGGGATGGCAGATTTCCCTCCCTGGTGGCCATTGG